ACGTATCCTTCTCTAGAACAACCGATCAAGGCGTTCTGAACTAGATTCCCTCTATCGAATGAGGTTCTCAATCGATACAAAGCGGTGAATCAACCCTCGACTAAAGCAATCGATCCACTACTATAGATCTATGGTGCTCTATTGACCTAATCAGGTATTCGCTCTCATAGGATCAAAGCAGAATCAATAATCTCGACTAAAGCAGAATTGAATCATGAAAACATGCATAGATTGAATATGAACTCAAGATTATCAAGTCAGAGTACTCATACAATCATCCAATCAAACAAACATAGCTAGGGTTCCTCAAAACCTAAGTGAAGGGAAGTTACTCCATAGAGAAGAGAGAGACTGCAGTAAGAATCTTCAGATGATCAGTCTTCAAGTCCGGGCTTGTTCCTCGAGCTTCCAAGGCGAAGAAATCCTCCAGTTCCACTCCAAGAATTCCCTCAAATCGCCCTCTCTCTCTTTGGTTCGTCCCTTGGGTGTTTGGGATCCAAAACCCAGCTCTCCCTCTCCTTTGGCTCGAAATTAGCTTAAGGCCAGAAATTCCCAACTCACACGAGCAGGCCACACGACCGTGTGACTTTCCCAGCTGCCCGTGTGAGTGTCCAAACACGGCGTTTCGATTAGTGGGCAACCAGGCAAGCTGCACGGGCAGAGGCCACACGGCTGTGTGGCTCCCCAAGCTGCTCGTGTGGCTTTTACCGAGCCTTCACACGGCCACAAGGGGCCCCTACGCGGCCGTGTGAGATGCAATGGTGCCCGTGTGGCTTCCCAGCTTCTCGCCAAACGTCCAATCTTCGTCCAATCGACCCCGAACTCGTTCCCAAGCCTTCATTCATGTGCTAGGACCTGAAATATCACAAACACGAACAACCTAGCGTGAAATCGGCCTAAAACGCGGGAATCGACATCTCAAACGGATCAAGAATAGGGGTAGAAACATGTGTAATTATTGGTCTATCAAACTCCCCCACACTTAACCGTTTGTTTGTCCCCAAGCAAACATAACTCAAACCAATGCCGCTCTCCAGACCTCTATAGCAACAAACAACCCCGATCGTCGGTAGAGGATTTTCTAGATCATATAGTAGCTTACGAGGTCAACTGGTCTTCTAAGACATTCCCTGTCTCTCTCAATGCGAGTACTAGACTCAAGCCAGGATCATGAGAAGCAGTGGAAGTAAGACAGTCTGTTCATGGATAAAGGGACTCATATCATTCACAACCAAGGACTCGTTGTGCCGGGGTGCTCTTTCACTTCATTTCACCGTTGGAACCCCTTTTTCACTTTCACTTTACTTTTTTTTTCTTTTTTTTTTCATTCACTTAGCGGGGGTTCCAACTGTAGTCTCTTACACGGTCGACCCTAATTAGTCAAGCAAGAGCAATTTCTGTACATCTGGCGCTCGCTATAGTACTTCTTTTAACTCCTTTCCCTCAACTCGTGTGGAGGGTCAATGAAATTAAGGGGGGTCGGAAGCTCTATCCGTGCACTTAAAAACACCTCCTCAAGTAGGCAACCCGTTCAACGGGTGGAAGTTTTACTTGTACTAGAGACGGCTTAGCTTCACCTTGTAGGAGTGCCCCACTAAGGATCACTAAAATCTCTTCCAAAACCCGATTTTGTGCAATGAACGGTGCCGCACACGTTGGGCTTACCCCATGTTTAATATTTAATGATTTTGACATGGAGGACCAACTACATTTCATTTTTCACATGAGCACCCTGTTCGATACACGAGTCCAAAACACAATCCACATAGAGTCACCATTACCACATGAATGCGACGGTCTTAGCTCCACTAATTCACAAAATCAACTGGCACAACAGAGAGCTAGATAGGAAAAATCTTATACTTCAACATCCTCCATAGTGCTACACTATCTCCCTAGGTTGCACATTACTATAGAGACTATCAATTCAAAGCATACTGAGCAGGCAATTTGCAAGGAAACACGTACTTGGAGCCCTCAAATTTAAAAATTTGGACAGTGGACTAGGCTCCAAGCACACAAATAGCCAAACATTCACCCGCATACATAATCGAACACCCCCCACACTTAAGCACGACATTGTCCTCAATGGAGGAAAGATAAGGAGGGTAGAACGAAGTTACTAGATCAAGGGTGAATGATAGTGGACGAGGCTGGCGGTGTATTCCAGGAGGAGAAAGTGGTCATAACACAAACACCACACAAAATCTCACAAAGGTTGAGTTATTGACTCTAAAATCAAATAACAAAACTGACTCAACCGAGGAGAAAAAGAGAAAGAAATGCAAACCGACTGGTTGGGTTGCCTCACAACAAGCGCTTCTTTCATGTCGTGAGCCGGACGATGGCTCCTAAGTTTCGGTCCACCCCAAAACCTCCTTGAAGTTGAGGTTCTCGTCGATGATGTGGAGTCTCAAGTCACGAACATGTGGTGTGGCAGGTGATGAAGGCTCATGCACTTGATGCAGATGAAGTCTCCACCCTCGAGACCTCTTCTTCTCTTCTCTCGTCTCATTGCCCCAAACTAGATATGACAGCATCGATTGACCACCATCGTGTCCACCAAGAGGAACCGATGTCGATGTGGCCTTGGTCTGGCAAAGAGACACTGCAAATGGGTCCTTGCTAAGAAGTTCCTCGAAGTTTGGTGGAGATATCACAAGTAACTCATAGCCGGTGCAAGCCTCTTCCACCTCAACTTCGTCCTCAGCCTGGACGCCAATTGCTTCTGCAACCTCCCTTTCTTCTTCTTCAACCTCCCTTTCTTCTTCATGTGGTATCACCCCTGGGAAATGATCAAGAACTCCTCCTGCTTCACTTTCGTCATCCTCTACAACTTCTTTCTGCACCCTTTCTTGCTCTTCTTCTTCTAGCACGGATTCGAGAGCAAGTTGCCAAGCAATTTCTTTCATGAGATCTTCTTGCATCTCCTCACTCATGCCCGCCTCTTCAAAGCTCAGTTTGGGATGTGGGAAGGTGTGGTCGGCTACGAGAGTACACTCCGGATCATGATCATCAAGGGAGCTCTCCGTGACAACTTCAGTGTGCTCCACAATGTCCTTGTAGCCTTCTTCTTCCTCCTCCTCTTCTTGTATGGTAGCAGAAGGGTGATCTGGAGCAGGTTGTACCAAAGATCGCTCAAGATCATCGGCGCTCTTCTTAAGGCTCAGGAGGATCTCCTCTGTTTCACGAAAGGCTTGGACACAATGATCCATCCTGGAGCATGATCTCTCCATGAGAAGCCTCAATTCGTAGTTTGGATCTGGCTGTGGAGTATAGCATGGCTCTGCAGAATGGCCCGTGAAGGCCGCCGTGGGTAACTCCAGCGCCGATGGCCCTTCTGGTTGTGGAAGAAATTCTTCTTGGTAATGAGGTTGTTCTTGATATGCCTAGGGGTCCGGTTGTTCTTCGTAGTAAGGGGGTTGGTACTGGAACCGGAATCCATAGTCTTCTCCTCCTTGATTGCTCCAGGGAGTCTCGGGGTAATACCACTCAGATGGTGGTGGATACCCCCAATGGTTGGAGAAGCCATGAGGATCCATGATTCAGATCTGCACCAACAAAAACAAAAACACCCAAGTGAAAAGCAAGGGTGGAAAAGAAAAGAAAAGAAAAGAAAAAAAACACTAAAGTAACAAACTTCTGCCTTTCCTAATAATCTAGAAAGTCCCCGGCAACGGCGCCAAAAACTTGACTCGCTATGAAACAAATCCTAACAAAGACTAAGTGTAACCAATGAAAGGGACTGCAATATAGTGGCTCAAGTGATAAATATCGAATCCACGGGTCTCTAGAGTTACTATTACTCAGCTTCAGTTTATTATTTAGCAAACTAGATTAAGATGGAAGAACTAAAACTACTCTAGCAAACTATAGTTAAAGTTAATCTAATTACAGGTTTGGAACTCACTTAGGTATGATTCCCCCTAGCCACTAGCCAGACTAACGATTGATGATTTCTAACTTGTTTCACTTTCATTCACAATGCTAAGAATCCTTGACTAGACCTTGAGTCTCGACTAAAGGAACAAGGCCCTCTTGAGTCAATTGCCTAGAGGGACGTATCCTTCTCTAGAACAACCGATCAAGGCGTTCTGAACTAGATTCCCTCTATCGATATGAGGTTCTCAATCGATACAAAGCAGTGAATCAACCCTCGACTAAAGCAATCGATCCACTACTATCAATCTATGGTGCTCTATTGACCTAATCAGGTATTCGCTCTCATAGGATCAAAGCAGAATCAATAATCTCGACTAAAGCATAATTGAATCATGAAAACATGCATAGATTGAATATGAACTCAAGATTATCAAGTCAGAGTACTCATACAATCATCCAATAAAACAAACATAGCTAGGGTTCCTCAAAACCCAAGTGAAGGGAAGTTACTCCATAGAAAAGAGAGAGACTGCAGTAAGAATCTTCAGATGATCAGTCTTCAATTCCGGGCTTGTTCCTCGAGCTTCCAAGATGAAGAAATGCTCCAGTTCCACTCCAATAATGCCCTCAAATCACCCTCTCTCTCTTTGGTTCGTCCCTTGGGTGTTTGGGATCCAAAACCCAGCTCTCCCTCTCCTTTGGCTCGAAATTGGCTTAAAACCAGAAATTCCCGACTCACACGGGCAGGCCACACGGCCGTGTGACTTTCCCAGCTGCCCGTGTGAGTGTCCGAACGCGGCGTTTCGATTACCGGGCAACCAGGCAAGCTGCACGGGCAGAGGCCACACGGTCGTGTGGCTCCTCAGGCTGCCCGTGTGGCTTTTACCGAGCCTTCACACGGCCACAAGGGGGCCCTACACGGCCGTGTGAGGTGCAATGGTGCCCGTGTGGCTTCCCAGCTTCTCGCCAAACGTCCAATCTTTGTCCAATCGACCCCGAACTCGTTCCCAGGCCTTCATTCATGTGCTAGGACCTGAAATATCACAAACACGAGCAACCTAGCGTGAAATCGGCCTAAAACGCGGGAATCGACATCTCAAAAGGCTCAAGAATAGGGGTAGAAACATGTGTAATTATTGTTCTATCAACTAGTTAGTAAAAAAAATTCCCAAAATACAGTACTTATGAAAATATTTCCCAAAATACAGCAGTTTGGGCAAAACGGTGAACCTTCACCGCTGTCGTCCAAAACGGGGAACCCTTCATCGCTGTCGTCCAAAACGGGGATTTTTTCCCACGTTTTACAACCCTGGTAGGTTGGAAGTTAGGTAACAGCGACCTAGCATTCAGCGTCTTGGCCAAAAGCGGTGATGGTTCACTGCTATTGACAAGCGCGGTGATTAGGCCCCAAAAATTCCTATAAAAACCCACCCCTCAGATTTCTCCTGCTGCCTTACAGCAATTCAGTACGAAATTAGTGCTTTTTTGGTCCTTTTCTCAGTTGGCTTACAGCAACAAGAAACTCATCGGGATTCGGTATGTTATAATTATGTATTGTTTACATGTTGATGTATTAGTAATTATATGTCTGTATTTATTGAATTTATGTTATTGGCAAATATGTTATGTTAGAGATATTTAGATGAATTATGGTATGATTGATGTTAGTTAGTTAGTTATGAATTTGGATGAATTTGGATAGTTTTCTCATGATAGATCAGTTATTTGCAGTTGTTAATGGGTTTGGATGATATTATTTTTGTATTCCTAATGTACTAATTATACTATAGTAATCTTATTCGAGTTAAGCTAATAGTTACTTATTGTAATTTGCAAACATGGGTGAATTTAAGAAGTTTCAGCTTATTATTCGGTGGAATGGTCGGGTGACAAACTCGGACTTTGGGATCGACTATGAAAATGGCGAATCCACTATGCTAAAAATTGAGTCGAGATTCACGTGGCAAGAACTACATGACATTTGTGCAGAAAGGACTTGTATGGATGGGCAAAGGAGAGTTGGTCAAATTACTTACCGGTTCCAAACATGAGTGCTGGCGGAGTTGTGTACGAAGAAGTTGTCTGAAAAATCGAGGTCTGTTGCTGATGGTGGAAATGAGGGAACCCTTGAGGAAACATGTCATATTCCTGTTGCGGGGAATAACTTGACGATCCTGGAGCGCCTTCCATTGTAGTTGACCACTCATGATCTGGCCATGGACCAGGCAGTTGTGTTTGCTGAGTCGGAGAAAGTTTTTCAATGTTTGGCTGGGCTCTTTTCTTACTCCTCCGTGGGGGCTCGGCTGGGGGCCCAATGGGCTCATCATCACGGAAAGAAGGTCGAGGCGGAGCAGGCACCGGAGGGTATACGATGACATCCCTCCTTTGCTCTCGCGTACTGCTGAGCAGGTTGTTGAAAAGCCTTCATAGGAAAGATGTTTTCCGCTCGTCCATGGTAGCTGCACTCTCGACGGTGTGCTTGGCATGTTCCAAGCCATCAACCTAATACAAATAATTAGAAAATGCAATAAATTAATCTAATCAAGTTAATTGCCATGACTCAAATCTAAGCATGTAATCTATGGACAAAAGCATAAGAATATGACGAAGATTAAGAATTAGAAACACTTACCACCGCTCCCCACACATCACCTTTCTTTGACACCCATCTAAGTGTGAATTTCCGATATCACACCATGTATCCATCGTGGTACCCCATTGGCCTCGTCTCCGGTAAACCTTAGACAGCCCAAGTCGTTCTATTCTCCCAAATGTTGATGTAGAATTCATGTTTGCGGATCCAATTCTTTGATTTGTGTCGTAGGACGATGGCATGGAGCTCTTTGAACCCTTGAGGTGGGGATGCTGGAATTGGTTGCTCCATCCGATACTGCCTCAATGCTCGATCCGGCAGGTGCCACTCCACCATGTGCCAACAGATCAAGGGTACCTTGCACAACCACGTCTCTACATCCTGGGGGTGTCTAAGACGATGAATCTCGACAACTTGAGGTGGATATGGATCCCATGTCACCTACACTTATTAATGATTTGGATTTAGTACAAATTACAACCTAATCCATTTAAATTTTTTTAAATGATCCAATTTGACATTTTTACCTGGTTCCACCAAGGCTTATCAAACCCAGCACGATAAAACAGTAAGGAGTGCTCGGGCTGGTGGTCGTTTGTATTTGCTCCGATCCACCTTATTAAGAAAAAGTACCTATATAAGATATTTTAAAAGAATATATGTGTTACTATGCATGTAAGAATTCACTAAATTAGCTAAATTGCATACTTGGAATGAATCTAAATTCGCTAAATTGCATACTTGGACTGTATCTAAATTCACTAAATTCACAAAAATACTAAAATTGCATAATTGGATTGTATCTAAATTCACCAAATCATTAAAATACTAAAATTGCATACTTGGATTGTATCTAAATTCACTAAAATAACTAAATTCTCTAAATTCACTAAAATATTAAAATTGCATACCTGGAATTAAATTAGCATGTAAATTAATCTTACTTGACACCATAGGGGGGATTTGCTAGAAAGCGTAGCTCCTCATCTGGACCCCAAAATTCCCGCGGATCTCGGGGAGCGAGCATTGGAAGATGCTCCCATGCCCAGAGTTGGAGTATAAACATCGCACCTCTAGCTTGTTTCGCTCCCAACCTTGAGCAAGTGCACAACTCTCGGTAGATCCCAACCAATACGGCCGACCCCCAACTCTTTCCCCCGATCTCGTCCCAATCACCGAGGAGCAACGACAACCACATGCCTTGAATCCACCGGTTTGACTTGTCGGGGAACAAAAATCCACCAACCAATCCAATGAGGTAGACGCGTGCATATCGCTCCACCTGATCTTCGGGGGTGTCTGGCCCTAAATTCACTTCCTGTTGGATGTGTTCAACAAGCCACAGGATTGAAACTTGCCCCTTATTGAGCGGTGGATGCCCAACCCCTTGAACAGGCGTTGTGGTCGGCATGTTGAACCCCAAATGCTCGAGAATCAACAACCCCCAATCACCTTCGGGTTTACTTGAGTTGTCGATGATGGCCTCTCCAGTGACTGGCAACCCGGTGAGTAGGGCAACATCTCTGTGGGTGATCGCCATTTCCCCCTCGGGAAAGTGGAAGGTATGCACTTCGGGGCGCCATCGCTCTGCCATTGCGGTAAGCAAATCGTTGTCGATATCAAGCCGCATGAAATGCCTCAGCATGTGCAATCCCGTCCTCTCTAGATAGGGCTCGAGACGAGGATGCCAATCCCGTCCTACAAAACAAAAAACAAAACAAAAAATACAATGTTGTTAGAAAAAAAAAACAAACCAAAAACTTTTAACCTATTCAAATAATTTAAAAATTTATACGGTATAGACAGAGTGTCTACCGGATTATTGTCCCAAATTGCACGGGAGCGATGTTGTTCTTGCTCGCTTAAATATTTGCGATCCCTTGGGCCAGGATCGATATACAAACGAGGGTCGTATATCTCAGCACCCATCAATAAACAAATATGAAATGAAATTATAATATTTCAAACCCATTTAAAAAAAATCAACAAAGGTGGAAAAAAAAATCCGTACTCTCAGAGCCTCTTCGTCCATTTTTTGCCGAAAAGCTGGAGAGAGTATCAACGAAACTTTAGAGCAAAAGATTTAAAACAAAATAAAATTTATATTAATTCTTTCTTATGTGGAAGATCGGACTCAGCCGCAACCACAAAGCATACTTAGAACCAGACTAGAGGGAAATAATGGAGGGAGAAAGAAGTATAAAAGTGGTGGTGTGGGTTGGAATGAGGGGGATGGGGTGGTATTTATAGGGGGACCATAGAGCATTCCCCGCTCTGGTCCAAAGCAGTGAAGCATTCCCTGCGATTCTCGAGGGCGGTGAAATGCGCGGATGGCTGACGTGGCTTGGTTTGAGGCGTCGGATCTGGGAGAAAAACCAGAATCCGCGCTTCACCGCATCTGACGGTGAAACTGAAGCACGCGAACGACAAAGATCGATGACGTAGAAAGCGCGGGCTATCACCGCTTTTGTGATTAATGATGAAGTGCCCGCACTTGTCCACGTCAGCGATCCGCGCCACTTCCCCTTTTTGTACGACAGCGGTGAAGGGTTCACCGTTTTTGACAAAACGGTGAAGGTTTCACCGTTTTGAGCAAAGGCGGTGATAGTTTCCCCGTCTTTGTAAAAAACGGTGAACCCTTCACCGTTTTTTGTCAACAGCGGTGATGCAATTCACTGTCTTGGTCCGCAGCGGTGATTCCCAAACTGTTGTATTTTGGGAAATATTTTCATAAGTACTGTATTTTGAGAATTGTTTTTACTGACTAGTGTAATTTGGGATTTTTTCTCTTCGTTCACTGCAGCTTCAATTTTTGACAATTGTCACCCTGATGTACGGTTTCCTCAACAGCCCCACCCTCTCCGATTGTCTTGATCTAAGCAATAATCGAGGATTTATTTATCATTGACTCTCAGGATAAAATGTACTTGATCGTAATGCCTGGACAAAATTCGTAGCTAGATAAGGCTTGATTACCTGATCGAATCATGACGACAATATGACGAATCCTATGTACATTGCTCTGGGTTGAAACATGAGAGTAATGAGACCCTGCAAAATCGTAGTCATATGAATTATGATTCTGTCACTGAGAAACTAATAATCTGGGCGTTTTAACAAGAACATAACAGATCAGGCCCACACCGGCGCCATTACATGCACAACGACACACTCAAATTTCTCAGCATCTCTGAGTTAAAATCTGTGGGATATCAGGATCGGAATATATGTATGCAAAAATCAAAAACAAATTACATCATGTAATTATAGCACCACAGACCAGCAAATGCATAATGATTCAGACAATTTCTTCTCCTTACCATATGCAGAAAACAAGCTGGTTTGTCCAACTTCGTATTGAAGTTACGTTGTAAGAGGAGCCATTTTTTTCTTACTACTGAAAGAATTATAAAGCAAAGTATACGTAATACGATGTTTAGTTGTATGTTGCAGCCTCCAGATCACCATCAGGAACACGCTTATCCCGATGAGGCTCAACACATTCTGATCTTTTCAGCCTACCTACATTGTTTCCAAAGTTGCAGCTTTTTCCAATATGGTAATAGTCTGTGGAAGTGATCTATTGAGGTCCTCCAATGTAAAACAACGTACCAATAGGGATCCCTCGAGGTGTAAATGACAGATTAAAGACTTCAATATAAGCATCCACTTGACTTGCAAAGATCCTAAAGACATACAGAGTGAAGCAGCCAAAACTCAACACTCAGAAATGGATACCATTGAATCAAGATCACTAATGCATAATTTCAAACACTTGTGAGTCGAATCAGCTTTGTACAGATATCGACTGCTAGTGAGGAACAATGGTAAATGTTCATAACCCACTTACATTTTTTAGCCACCAGATTACAATGAGAAGAGCAACAATTAAACACCCAGCCGTAGTTCTGAAGCAAGAGGACTCGAATCAGTACCACCAACCATGCCCCCACAAGGATGAGCACTGATCGAAAAAAGAACCTAGAAGAGCCCAATCAACAAACAAATTGCAGCGAGTAAGAACAGATCAGAATACAAATTACTGATCAGCCACAAATGCACAGATCGAACTGTTGAACCGTGATCTAGCTAGCTACTTGGTGATCGGAAAACCCAATCGCAGCAGTACTTCACCTCTAATTGGATCATACAAAGTTTATAGAGACAAGGGGGAATTGATTACCTGTATTGAACAAGGAAGAAGCTGAGGAATGAAGAAGAAGCAGAGTTGCAGAATCAACAGGGCAGAAACTTTCTACGTTTCTGCCTTACACTCCATCCGACAGAGAGAAGATCCAAAGCGACGTCGTGGAGGTTCTATTTATCGTTGGGTGGAGTTGAAGAAGGCCAACTGAATGAAGACACCTGACATCGTTTTATTACTATCTTTTGATTTTCAGTTTAACAGACTTTTCCATTTTTACTGTTTGTGAACTTTACTCAGGTTTTACCCTGCTTGATCAGTATATAATGAGAAGCAGTAGCAAGAGACCTCTTTGCGGGTTCCCCGAATCATACCGCCTCATTTCTCTTCTTCTTCCTAGAACCCTAACCCTCTAAGGGTTCTCTATATGGTATCAGAGCTGGAATAAGTTCCAGCGTTCTTCCGCGATGGCGAACACGCCACCAAACCCACGAACTCCAGGTAGCGGTCTCAACAGTGGTGCCATTCCCTTCGGGTCTTTTGATGCACAATCAAGCCACACCGGTGGATCCAACAATGGAGGAAATGGGCGACCAGATCTACTCTTTGGTAATCCTTTCTACATTAACCCAAACAAGAACATTTCTCTATCTATCGTCTCTGAGAATCTGGACGGCGCTAATTATCAGATGTGGCAAAGAGCTGTTTGTATGGCTTTGAAAACCAAACACAAACTCAGTTTTATTGATGTTTAATTCCTGCTCCTGCTGTGGGTGATGTTAATTTTGGTTTACGGGATGCTTGCAACACGTTGGTTTTGTGCTGGATCATGAATTCTCTTGATAAGGAGATCAGATGTAGTGTTATGCAGCATGAGAATGCAAGGATTCTCTGGGATGAACTGAAACGCAGGTTTGGTGTCACTAATGCACTTAAGTTAGCCGACATGCAGGACCAGATTATAGCTTGCAAACAAGGTTCTCTTAACATCACCTAGTACTACACTGCTTTCAAAGGATTACGGGAAGAGAATCTTCAATTTAACCCCATTGTTGAGTGTGATTGTGTTGCTCAACGGACTCATCCCTCTGCTGCTGTAGAAGCTTTCAAGCAGACGCAAGAAGTTGTGTATTTAATCAGGTTTTTGAAGGGTTTGCGTCCTGAGTATGAGATTGTTCATACTCAGTTGCTGATGATGAAACCACTGCCAACAGTGGACAATGCAGTCAATGACCTGTTGCAACATGAGCAGAAGCTCAAAGGTGATAAGGGTGGAGCTGCAACATGAGGAGTTGAATCAGTTTCTTTGGTTGCTCAGGGAAACCTCCAGCTAACCTAGAAGGGCAGAAGTTCTAAAGATATTGCAAGAAGGAAAATCATAATATTGAAGATTGTTACAGGCTGAAGAACAAAAAGGCAAGGATGAGTGGAGGAAATGTGGTAGCTGCAGTGTCTCAAAGTGACTCTTCCACTGACAGTGACACAGGTAGTTCAGATACGAAACTCAGTGTTGACACAAAAAAATCCACCTTTAGCCTTTCTTCAGAGGAAATGAACAAGCTCAAGTATTTGCTTCAATCAGTTTCTTCTGCCTCTCCCAGTCCCTCTCCACCTGCCTCACCATCAGTGAACCACCTTGCTTTCTCAGTGGCACAACATATACCACATTTCCCAAATCAAGTTGGTAAGTTCATTTTGTCCTCCTACTTTCAGCATAAAGATAGTTCACTCATGGACATTTCGATCTTAGATACATGGGCTTCAGATCATATTGCTTGCAATCTAAACTCTTTTATTGAATCAACTCCTGCGTTTGGACAGTTTGTATTCTTGCCAAATAGTGCTAAGGTAGCAGTTAGTCACATTGGGAAGGCTAAACTTCCTATAAGCATCATACAATGTCCTCCTAGTGCCTAGTTTTACTTTCCATTTGGTTTCAGTCAGTAAACTGACCAATGACCTTCCCATCTCACTTCTTTTTGAATCTGATTTTTTGTCAAATTCAGGACCTCTTGACCCAGACCAGGACTGGTTTGGCAAAACAGATTAGAGGACTCTATCAAATCACCACCAAGACACCTATTCCTTCTTACAACCTACCACAAGCTGCTACTACATACAACTTCACCCCATAACATATTGAGCTATGGCACTGGAGGCTAGGACATCCCAGCAAACAAAGAGAAAACATGCTTTTACCTTGTAATAGGACATCAGTCTCACATTGTGAAACATGTCACTTTGCCAAACATAAAAGGCTTTCTTTCCCAATTAGTTCTAGTCATGCACAGTCTGCCTTTGAACTCATTCGTGGAGATATTTGGGGTCCACTTGCTGTGAAATCCCATGAGGGATATTCTTACTTTCTTACTATTGTGGATGATTACTCTCGAGTCGTTTGGACCTATCTTATGAAGTTTAAATCTGAAACTAGCTAGTTACTGCAAGCCTTTTGTGTTATGGTTTCTAGACAGTTCTCTAAGTTTGTTAAGATAATCAGAAGTGATCAAGGGAATGAATTCCATATGACTGAGTTTTATGCTGAACAAGGGATTGAACACCAACAATCCTGTGTGGAAACTCCAGAACAGAATGCAAGGGTAGAGAGGAAGCACCAACATATCTTAAATGTTGCTATATCACTTAGATTTCAGTTTGGTGTTCCTCTTCGTTTTAGGAGTGATTGTATACTCCATGATGTCTACCTGATTAATAGACTGCCTACCCCAATACTTGGTGGTAAAACCCCCTATGAATGCTTGTATGCTAAGCCACCAAGTCTTGCTGGTTTAAAGGTGTTTGGATGCTTGTGTTATGCTGCCACTTTACACAGAGATAGAACAAAGTTTGACAGCAGGGCTAGGCAGTGCATCTTTCTTGGTTTTCCCTCAGGAATCAAAGGGTATAAATTGTATGACATCAATTCCCATACATTCTTTACTTCTCAAGATGTCACCTTCTATGAAACCATATTTCTTCTTGCATCTAAACAATCTTATCCTTCTCCCACAATTCCATACCCCATTTCTCCTACTCTTTCTCCTCTTCCCAGTTCTCTTCCATCCTCTTCATGTCCTTCTTCTTCTCAGACTGCTCCCACCACCTCACCATCTGATCTTGTGCTCACTACTACTCCTTCTTCTTCATCATCTCCTTCTTCTTCTTCTTCTTCTTCTTCTTCTTCTTCTTCTTCTTCTACACTGCATCCTATCCCTGATTTGTCTCCCTCTGGTGAGTTGTCTAGTGTGCAATCTGTGGGGGAGGAAGCTGAGATTGAGGTCTTCCCTGGTCCTCAAGACTCAGATGAAGCAGAATTCCTCAGAAAATCCAAAAGAACTAAGTCTGTACCTGTGTGGCACAAGGACTATCATATAAAAATTGAAGCTTCTTGCACTAAGCATCATTTGGCATTACTACACATTTGAGCAACTTATACCTGCTCAACAGAAGATTGCCATGAGCATTATGGCAAATGAGGAACCAAGTTCCTATGCTGAAGCTTGCAAGGATCCAAGGTGGAATCAAGCTTATAAAGAAGAATTAGCAGCACTGGAAGAGAATCAAACATGGGATGTTGTTAAGCTCCCACCTAGGAAGAGAATAGTAGGAACCAAATGGGTGTTTAAAATCAAATACAAGGCAGATGAGAGTATTGAGAGATTCAAAGCAAGGCTGGTAGCCAAAGGCTACACTCAGATTTATGGGATTAACTTCCTTGACACATACTCTCCTGTGGCAAAGACCAATTCAGTGAAGACCCTTCTAGCTGTTGCAGGCTTGCAGCATCAAAGGACTGGCATATACATCATATGGATGTATCTAATGCTTTTCTACATGGAGATCTGGATGAGGAATCTACCTTGATATACCTCTTGGAGTTGACATTCCTAAGAACTCAGGTTTGGTTTACAAGCTTAAAAAATCCCTGTATGGCCTTAAACAGGCCATCATACAATGGTTTGCAAAATTGACTAGTGCCCTGATGAAAAATGATTTTTTCTCAAACTGCTTCAGACTACTCCATGTTTGTTAGATGGATACAGGGAAGAGTGGTTGTTGTTTTAGTGTATGTTGATGAAATTTTGATTGCTGGTAGTTACCTTGGATTCATTGAGCAGTTGAAAACATTCGTGAGTAAGGAGTTTAAGGTAAAGGATTTGGGTCAGATAAGCTATTTCCTTGGATTGGAAGTGCTGAGAGATCACAAGGGAATATCAGTCAGTCAAAGGAATTATTGCTTGGAATTGTTAACAGACACAGGCTTTCTTGAAGCTAAAGGTTGTTTATCTCCAGTTGACTGTAATGTAAAGTTGACAGCAAGCCAAGGTGAAGAACTACCAGATCCTAGTGTGTAAAGAAGATTAATTACGAGGCTTCACTAATTAACTATCACCAGGTCTGATGTTGCTTATGCAATACAACAGCTAGCTCAATACCAGACATCACCAGGAGTTGAACATTTGCAGGCTGCTCACAGAGTCATTAGATATCTGAAACACACTCCAGGTCAAGGTTTGATGTTTAGAGCTGATTCAAAACTTGAACTGTCTGGATTTTGTGATGCAGATTGGGCAAGTTGTTCGGATTCTAGAAGATCCTTGACTGGATATTGCACTTTCCTTGGGACATCTCTTATCAATTGGAAGACAAAGAATCAAACGACTGTCTCAAGATCCTCATTTGAAGCAGAGTACAGGGCATTAGCTCAAGTGGTTTGTGATGTACAATGGCTTAGAAATTTGTTGCTAGAGATGGGAGTGAAGGTCCCTCTACCAGTTATCTTATTTTGTGATAACAAGTCAGCTTTACATATAGCTGAAAATCCGATTTTCCATGAGAGAACCAAACATATTGAGATTGATTGTCATGTCACTAGAGAGAGGCTCAAATCTAGTTTGATTAAGCTAGAACATGTGAGAACAGATGATCAAGTTGCAGACCTATTTACTAAAGGTATGAGTCGTTATCGATTGAAGTTTCTTCTGGACAAGCTGGGAGTCTTCAACGCTTACTCGCCAACTTGTGGGGGAGTATTGAACAAGGAAGAAGTTGAGGAATGAAGAAGAAGCAGAGTTGCAGAATCAACAGGGCAGAAACGTTTCTACATTTTTGCCTTACACTTCATCCGACAGAGAGAAGATCCAAAGCGACGTCGTGGATGTTCTACTTACCGTTGGGTGCAGTTGAAGAAGGCCAACTGAATGAAGACACCTGGCATCGTTTTATTACTATCTTTTGATTTTCAGTTTAACAGCCTTTTCCATTTTTACTGTTTGTGAACTTTACTATGG